TACCTAGTAACATAAACTAAGCAAAACTATGTAACATGTAACATGTACCTACTTATATTACATTCGTGTACATATCTGTAAATAATCTATTAAAGTTGATCAATAATTATTAGTTAATTAGTACGATTGCTATTGTTTTAAATTTCATATTGAAATTCAAAATAATAAGCACCTAGTTAATTTAAATATTTGTTAAAAAAAACTGCAAATTGTATTAAATTTCATTTAGTTATCATATTATATATTATATATAAGGTATTAAAAAAAATGCATATAGGTACATATATAATATAAAGGTGTAGAATTATTCATTTAAAAAAATCTGTATTTTAATTTGTATAGTGTATAAACATATTGGGTATATTGTACATAGTCAAGTATTAAATCGACAATGTTACAGTTGAGTAATAGGTACCTAATATAGTAATATCATTATGAGCATTACAATTAAATTATTCAAATACTGTAATCATTTTTAAATAATTAAATATTTGTTAATAGTAATGTAATCATGAATAACTGGCAAATTTAATGTCCCTAATGTACTTATAAGTATAACATTGTATTTTATTCCAAAACAGTAGTAGGTACCTATTAGTAAGTAAATCTTTAGTGAGTAAATAAATATTAATTTTATTAAGCTACCGCCTTTTCAAATAAAATGTTGGATTTTTTTCACATAGATATAAGATATATAGTCACTAAAATATTTTTAATTAAATGTTGGAAAGTTTTCAATTCAAGCAATAACTTTTACCTATCACATACTCAGATATTTTGCAGTTAATATTATTTTATATTTCTTTTGAACACTAACACTGAGTTTTGAAAACAATAAAATATTTTCATTCGTTTTTGCATGTAACACATTAAGTTTCTCGAGGCAATAAAAATATTAACACATACGACCACTGACAAGTGATAAAATAAGCACTAACTTACCTACACAAACATACAGAGTGTTTCACCAATCATGCTAACTTCCACTTTTTCGTTTAGTAATGAATTTATTTAAATTCTAATTTTTAGAATTTTTAAGTGTACTTGAGGATCAAATTTTAAATATTTAGGTTTTTATGCAAATATAGTGTTCTGTCGTTCTGTGTTGATACAAATTTCTTTTTTTAAAATAAGAAACAACCTTCTTTACTGCAAATTGTAATGTAGATGATTTTTTTAAACATTTTAATGATCTAAATCAAAATTCGAATGAGGAGTTTTTAAATTACTTTAACTTTGTGTAGGTATTAACTATTAAAGATAATATTTATCTATGTAAATTCTTGTAATTTGTTGTAAATAATTATGCATTATCAATTGTTAATTCTGTTAAAAATGTTAATTAATATTATCAATAAGTTTAGATGACCTTGTCAAGAAATTTATGATAAATAAAAAAAAAGTATAATAATATAATAGGTTTGGAAGACTATTGGTAATACGATTATTTGTAAATTATGAATATTAATATTAATCTATTAATATTTTATAAAGTATAACAATTGCTTGAGTATTATAAGTAGGTACTAAATTAAAAATTACATCTATTTTATATTTTTGAAAAATAATTTTTAATGACTAATATCATAAGTCACATTATATAATTAGTCAGAAACTACTTATTTATATTTTTATAACGACACATTTACCATAAATACAGTAGGTTCTCATTTGAAAGAAAAAGGGAAAGAACACTCCTTATAGTACGAACAATTTGGGTATTTGAAAATATGGTTCAACTAATTTCAAAAATCAGAATTTGAAATAGGTGAAACAAAGCATAATATACTCAGTGAATTCCCCTGTATATTATAATATAATATATATTGTAATGTAAGTCCTCGAAACCACATTAGTTCGTGGTTTGTGTTATCTTTTTTTTTTTGTTAATAATTCACGGTTTGTACAAATAAAACGAGATATTCAAATAGATAACAAATGGAAAAATTATTTTCATAACATTCGTGACGGTCGGCCACGTATATATTGGGTGTATTTACATTTTGGCCGCGCACAACGATGCCGCAAACACAGTGATAATAATATCAGGTGGTTATACGACTCTTTTGTTTTATCATTTTATAGGTACATAATATTATTATCGTTGTGCGATGTCCGAGAAGTGAATAACGCAAAGCGTGTGACGAATCAGAGCTCTCCTGTAGTGGTTTTAGTCGTACGAAACCTGGTCCGGAGACTCACGTGCGACACATTTTATGTTCGACAGTCGACGTGTATAATAGGTACTAACAGTGTTCTCGGTATTTAGTAGAAAACATAATATTATTTCAATATCGTTTCAATAAAGTCGCGTCTATTATGGCGTACACTGCCGCGATATACACAATGTGGGAGACACACAGTATAATATTATTATAGACAGCTCGCGTAGGAGGTATGCACGTGAAAATGTTTTTCGTCCGTCGCAATACATGAAAATATAATATATTATGCACTGTATACGTATATTGTGTATGTGTGTGTGTGTGTGTAGGAAAAGCAGCTCGACGCCAGCCGAATACAGCGCGGTAGGTATTAGATTATCGACGAAAACCGGGCGCTTGCGCGAAAAGCCCTTTTTCTCCGCCGGACACGCCCACGAGCCCGCCGCCGCCCAATCCGTTCGGTGCGCCGGACAAGGGTAGTCTGACGGAATAAACCCCTGAATTATTTATCCCCCGGGCCAAAATTCGTACACACGTAGGTGGATATATATATATATGGAGTCGGTCGGTTGGCCTCGCCGCCGTGTACACAATATATAATAATAATAATACGCGTTTCACTCAATGACAGTTTTCCCACGTAGGTACACCTATATAGGTATATAATAATAGGTATACGTAGGTATACACGTCGTATTCGTACCCACCTGCATAATAAAACGAGCAGGGACCTCTACCTATGTAGGTATACGCGTACATGCAGGTTTGATATTTCTGTCCATCTTTCGAAACTTATCAAGGGGGATTTTTGTTAAATCGATACGCGCGCGCAGTGCCATCCTGCAACTGCGATCTATTATAATAATATTGTTATTACATGTTTACCCGCTGCAGCAGGCGATTATAAATGACTAATAATATTTCGTTCACGAATCACGCGAGCAATATTATACGTTTCTTAATGGACGAACAAATTTTTCGAAAGCCAAGCTGGGGGGGGGTATTTATTGTTATTGTCGAGAATCGGAACTTTGGGCATTTGCATATTTGTTTAGAAAGTGCATATTGAAATTCTGATTCGATACGAATTCGATCCATAAGTAGGTACCATACGTATATTTCAAATACAAACATTTTTTTTGCGTATTTCGTTATATTTTGTACGAATTCGCATATTTTAGATTTAAGAACATTTATACATGCATATTTCATGGAAGTGACAAAAACAATTTTTTTTTAGAAATTTGTAGTTTAAAAAAAAACATAACTATATGACAACCAAAAATTAACTAATTCATCGACGGCTATATTTTAAATGCTCCCTTGTAATGCTATCGGATGCAGTGCCCCTAAATATGTATGGATATAAGAGTGGAAAATCGCTTATACTCCTTTATACTCAAAAATAATTCAAGTGACATCATGCGCTGCGCATGGTCTCCATATATAGGACTTCTACAGAGGTACATATGGACAATTTTATTGTTATCGATAAAATTGTATCGAGTGTTAATTTTTTTTTTTAAAAGCACTATCACGTATATTATATACATAATATATTTTATTATTTTCTTCAATAAATTATATATTTTTGCCGATTCTCCAAATGTTTACTGCATTCTATAATGTTTTTTAACGCATATGTATATTGTATGCACATATTTGAGTTACTTTTACTTCATTAAGTTCCGAGCCTTGGTATTAGTATTATAATAATTCACTACGAGATTTACTCAAAATTGGGTATCGTAGAATTTTCGTAATAATACTGCTCTGGTCACTGCATTTTTGCAACGATCAAACCCGTTCTTAATACCTAATAATAATGTGCTGCAAGTACCTACCTCACCTATATTGGATAGGTATATTCTTTATCAGTAATCGGTAAATTATTATACCCATAGGTACAATTAATACACGATAAAACATGCGTTCAACACAACTATAGATTTTAAAAAAATATATCTAATATTTATAATGACAAATAATGGCATTCAATATATTATTATGGCCAAAGCTATTGAAGTAATAGTTAAGGTCAATTTTTATACACGTGCACTCATAATTCAATTAAGCAGAGCCGTTGTGGTCATGACATTTATGTATCGAAACATTGTTCTGTCATTCGCTTCGGCATTGATACTGCATGAGTTTAATTTAATCAAAAATCCGTTGGACATTGAAAAATATTATTATTTAGGTACTCGTGATGTCTTAGCTTAAAAAAACAAAAAATGAACATTTTTTAAGTTTTATGGAAAGTTTTAGATTATATTTATCACATTTTCTGTGCATATTTTGTAATAAATGTTCATAAATGATTTTTGGAATAAACACACTCGTACAATGGTGAGTTGTGTATACAGCCATACAGGTTGATAAGTTCCCACATGAGAACGGTTAAAGGGCTCGTGACGCTTCCTATTCATAGAGAAATCATTTTCGTAAAGCTAATAATACGCACTGGGTACAATACAATCGTTTCTCCCCTTCAGAAATACTGCAGGCACCTTTACGAAGCATAATAATATGTAAACCATTATCGGAGTGTGTCAAGTGATTAATAATCCAACAACACTCAGGTAACGAACCCTTTGCCTGTATAGAAGGGGGAAAAAAATCGAGAATGAACCTGCCCCGATTTCCTGCACGCATGTGCCCGGAAGTTGGTTGTTAATCGGTAGGAACTAATCGGGGGGAACTTGATGATCACCCCTAGACAAATGCGCACCCCTGGGGAGCAGTTAACGATTTTTTAAATCTTCTATACAGATCTAAAAACAAGTGTGAATAAAAAAAAATACCGACAAATATTCATTTTTGCTTGCAGTAAACATGTTGGATATCAAGAGGTCAATTTCCATGCTTCCAGCACCAGTAAACTCGGAACCGGACACGGATCTGACCAGTCTGAACTGGTGCCACAGTTTGACGAAACATACTTCTGTGCCATCTCTGCCTACGCCTCCTGATTCGCCTAATTCACCAACACGTTCAGCAGATCAGAACCCGAAAAAACTTCCGCACAAAATCCGTTTCCAAATGAGTGAGTGTTGTCAATAACAATAAATTGAATAGGTACTTTTTTTTCGGCAACTTTGATTTATTGATTTTTCATTTCAGGTTTGGAAAGTGCTGAACAATACAAAAATAATGGTGACAAAAAACCGCCATTTTCATACTCTACGTTGATTTGTATGGCCATGAAAGCTAAAGGGAATAAAGTTACTTTAAGTTCTATTTATGGTGGATCAGGGAAATTTTTGTACTACCGAAACGCCGATCCTAGTTGGAAGGTAATGCATAATATTTAATCAAATACAAAATACCTACTACCTTTTACATTTTACATTTTACGGTTTTTTTTTTCTTAAGAATTCAATCAGACACAATTTATCGTTAAACAAATTCTTCGTGAAAGTGCCCCGATCTAAAGATGAACCAGGTAAAGGAGGATTTTGGAAGTTTGATGTTGATTGCTTAGAAGGTGGTGCTCGACGTAAACGAACAAGTAAGCATGGCTTATAATTATACATAAATAGAGGTTGAGATAAAGAGATAAGGTTGTCAGGATTTTTTTCAATTCACTCTTGATGGCAGTTGTTGTAATTATAGTTTATTTCAAAAAAAAATTAATTATTTGATAGGAATACTTTAGTATACTAAGTGCCTAGCGATAAAGTACCTAATTTTTTTGTTTTAATTGAAATCTGATAATAACATTTTGAGTGTAGATTTAATTTATAGCATTTATTAAGATTAAGTTTAAAATTACATATTTATTATAATATTATAATATTACTTAATGCCTAGTAAATATAGAAAAATAAATACCTAATTCAATCTAAATGCAAGTCTTACTTAAGACCTGTCTATATTATGGTTAGAATTTATAAAAATTAACGCCTAAAATATTTTTTTTCATTGAACTTAAGCCCGGTTGGCGATGACTAAGGCCATTAGCTGTTGTAGGGGTTATGTACTGTGGTAGGGGTAAGGTTGGTACGGTAGGTAGTAAACGCGTGTATGTGTGGCAAGGTTTTTAACTACTATAAACCCGGGTGGTCACCCATCCGGGAGATAGTAGCTGTGGCCGTTACTTACTCACAGTCGCATTCCGCGACTGGTAGCAACCAACTCGCCAAGCCAAGCCACTGCCTAAAAATATTATACAACGCCCCAACTGTTAAAATAATGAGTTAAGTAATATAAGCGTCTATCGCAGAACTCCAATAAAACGGTAGGTATGTCACACGTTGGTATTTTACAATTATTGGAAATTATTTGCTGTGTTCATGAAACGATAAGACGTCTATAAAATAAAATAAACGATTAAATTATAACTTATAAAATGAAACTTAACCAACGATCGTGTTGCACCACAGGTAGCCGGAGGCGGGCAAGTCGGATGCAACAAAAGAACAACGCGAGCAAGGGGAGCAACGGAGAGATGACCGTCGAGGACGAAAAAGCGCTCCAGTTGGCCGTCATGTCGCTGCAGGAAGAGGAGCAACGACATATGGACAACAATTTGGACGGTTTCCACCAGCAGCCGATGATACTTCCTGTCGACGAGCCGATGGGCGAACCCGAGTTGATCTACAGCTGTTCGATAAACGCAGCCACCGTGGATCCGTTCATGTCTTCTGTAGTCGATTACACGATAATCGACATACCCAACGACCATCATCAGCCGCAAATCGCCACGGACGACGAGCTAACCATGCTCACGAACTTGACGTGGGACGATTCGCAAATGGACCTGCTCGATTCGTTGCTAGACTCGTTGTAGACCGGTTTTTTAATAATAATTTATTATATTATTAATATTGTGCAGTTGGTATGCGTTATCGGATCCTATATACTATATCATTGTCATTATTATACATATTATTGTGTTGTAATGCCGAATCCATTCCAACATTCCGTTTCGAGTGTTTTGACGTGTCAAAGTGAAACTAGTCTTTTTATTTTTTATTTTTTATTACTATACTTAATTTAACTTAGAACGAAACGGCGAGATCGAAATTGTGATACAAACTGTTTGGATAGAGCTTGATAACTATTAGTGTATACTTAGATTTAATTACCCACTACCGTAGGTAGTAGTCTTTAAAGACGTAGCTATACCTATCTATCTTACCAGTTTGCAACACAGATACTTTTCGTTTCACCCTGTATCGCGAACGGGAATACAAACGACTTGTATAGAAAAAGTCACCCAATTAACCCTATATGATAATATTATGTATTTATATTATAATAATTTGTCTATCTTTCCTTTTACATAGGTACCTATGCATTATTGTATGACGTGTTAATTGTATTTTTTTTGTTTAACTTCGTCTCAAAGACGATTCCTCATTCGATGTGTTTTAACAATAGCGATTTAAATTATTGTATATTATTTTTTCAATAAGCACTAAACTATGTAATGTTTTAACAAACGAAAACTTAAAAATATAAGTCGTAAGTAATTATATAATAATATATAATACTATACCTATCTATTATAAATAAAAATCGTAATATAAACTAAACGTAAATAACATACGTAATAAATATATTATTATAATCTACAATATCGTGATATTATTATATTTTGATGACATTATGGTATTAATGTCGATAACTGTAAATACGCGATCAATGTGACCGTCGACCAAGCTGCATTACGACTAGTGAAACAGCAACCGTCGTTAAGTGCCGAACCCAATGTCTTGGCCGTTTCTTCGACGGCTCTGATCTGTTCGCGATCTAATGACGAAAGCTGTGCATGAGTAAGAGCGTTGACGGCAGACAACGATAAATGCGACAGCTGTTCTATTGACATGGCCTGTGATGGACACGTTAGACAGACTTATATATTTTTAAATACATTTTGAAAAATTGCATTGCAAGCCACTCGGACGCCGTTCTGAGATTAGAGTTTTCATTTCTATCCATACTTACCTGTAGTACGTTGTTCGGTAAACATTGCATGCTCGACGCTGCCAATCCTTCAAATGCGTCGGGCTGAATATCGCGCACAGAATCCAAACCGGAAATTACACATCCGATCAATGCTATCTGATAAGAATATAAAACAACAAAACACTGAGAAAAAAAAATGCTTTTAAAGTGCTGTTTATAATCGCACCTACCTGTATAGCAGTCCATCCCGACGGGTCGCCGAAAGCGTCTCTACTGGTAGCGAGTAAGGCAAATTCTCGTATGATCTCTTGAGGGCAATTAACGAGATTTGATATATCAGCAGCGGCCACCCTTTTTATTATTTTCATCATGACATAGTAATTATTATTAAATGTACTATTGTTAAATTTGATTCAACACTACCATTCAACGGTATTATACAGGCATTATAACTTTTTAATAAAAATAATTTAAAAAAAAATAATTATTACTTGTATGCGAATGGTTTGATCGCAGCTATATGTGATTTATTGAACGAGCACAAAACTTGACCCAAAGCGGCTAGATCGTAACTGCTAAAATCCGAAGGGCCTTTGTAACTCCATTGGTCTTCGATCGCTTGTTTTAAAGACATAACCTTGGAAAAATTACACTAATCAGTTGAGAATTATACGGTACATTTATATATTTTTGTTTTAAAATATGAATGCATTTATTTATACGAAAATTGTTACCTATTTAAAGTAAAATTTACTTTAAGTACAAACGTAAAATACATACAATATTTTCCATTAAATTAAGTATTTTAAATTTTTTACTAAGCATTTCCAGAAGTTTTTATTTTTATTTTTTATATAAATTTAAATATTTAAATACTTTTACCATAAACTATTATAAGTTATAATAGCTAATGTTTAATAATTTATAGTTAACCCGTCGTGACGCTAAGCGGTCTGGTTAGAATGTATCAGTATTCCGGTATTCGGTTCTACAGAGGTCAACAAATTCCAATCTAAATGTTGGTGGGTCAAACTTCCATGCCTACCAATTAAAAAAAATAGACGGATAATAATTATGGTATGGGTATATGAGGGACACTTCGTTGATGAGTATAGCCACGCTACAGTTAAGAATACATTTAAAACTGACTAAACATTATCTAAATTAGCTGTAAAAATATTTTTTAATTATACATAGGTAATTGTTAAGAAAATTTAAATAATATTATCGTCGTATAAAATTGATAGAAGTGTCCAAAGTTTTGATAGTGCATCGAGTCATTATATCGTAACATATTATTAATTTATACTCAAATATTAAATGTTTACTGAAATTATTACTATATAATATTATATACAGGTAGTATTATTATAGTGTATTGTTGTCAAGTAATGATAACTAATAAATGTTAATATTAAAAGGAGAAATATGAAAAACTTAGTTTCTACGTAGTTTATCCTTTAAAAGTATGACCTTCTGTCGTTCCGGATGAGTTATAGTAACATATTAGTGTTTCATAAATGTTGTCTTGTTACCTATTATTACTATTCTGTTATTAAACGTAATTAAACGTAATTACAGTAAATTAAAAAAATATATATACTAAAAATAGATAATAGACTTTTTAAATCATTAAATATATTTTCTCAAATATAATGTTTTTTTTTTTTTTTATAAAGTAGAGTGCTGTTTAAATTTTAAATTTGTTCATAAATACTTGCATTTAAATAAAAAAATTCGGGAAAACAAAACCTATACATATGTTGAGCATATTAAATATCTATGGCTAGGTGACTTTCTTAATTTTAACGAATGTTATTAATCTTCACTTAATTATATGTATCATACCTATACATAACGTGTCAATGTGTTTATAATTAAACGTGTGACAAACCTGTTCTTTAGAATAATTTCTCCATTTTCCGAATGATGCTATCGTTTCGATATCCGTCAAAGATAAATTCATAAAATCTGAAGCAGGTATTCCTTTCGATATCCACCCTAACAACTGCAGCTCGTCCTCAGGAATATCATCTGCTGTTGTATAAACCTAAACAATAATATATTATTAAGCTATTGTTGCTTTGGATTCGAAATAGTCTTATTAGTATCATATGTCCGTCTCACTTTCACTAAATCTCTCCACAATAGTTCAGCGATTTCCGTTTCTAATGGATCCTTTCCGAGTACAATCAAACACATTTTAATCTGTGACTGATTGTCAATGGATATTAAATCTTCAATGTCTTCTCTAGACAATTTTCCGTTTTTTTTTATCAAAGATTCGTCATCACATGGCTGTTTTGCCACGTCTCTATGCACTACTGATAAAAATGAAATAGACAAATACACCCATTTGAGAGACATAGTACGACTAAACTGGCAGGTTAGGTTGTATAAAACAACGATATTACAATGTATTTACATGGCGTCCAACAAGGTATACTAATATAATATGTATAGACGAATTTCCTCGGACGCCATTGCGTGCAAAAATATGGTTAACCATGTAAATAGTTAATTGACAGTGTTAAGGTTTATTTTCAATATTCGAAGAATGATAAGTAGGTAACTATCATAGTTTGTTTCATAGAGATAAAATCAATTTTTACTACTCAAAATCTATTTTAATTATTATGCATTGCAGATTACGCACCAGACTAGTGCACCACCATGGTGTAAATTTTCATGAACATTTTTTTTTTATGAACATTTTAATGAACATTTATATAACTTTTCATATTCATTTCTTATCAAATAAATCCCTTGTTATTATATAGTTATAATAATTAAAATATATATTGAACCTACATAATTATATTTAAAACTGTGTACTTACTTGTATTACCATTTAACTATTTTAATATTATATTATTAAACGTAATGATATAGGAAATCCAAAATACAAATTAATTTAGCTCGGTGATAAATTTTCATTATTATCTATTGTTAAAAAATTTGCATTTTTAATTCAGTATAAGTATTTGAGTTGTACACCCATATAAACGTTTACCTACATTTATTGATTTTTCTATTTGTAATATTTATTGTTTGAGTTATTTCCACAATTTTACACAAACTGATTTTATGAGTAAATAGTTATTAGTTATACAAATCAAATTTAGTTTTAATACAAGACCATAAGTCAGCACTATTTATTATTGATTAATATATTAATATGTTTTTTTTAATTTTAAAATGTAGGTATAGATACTTACCTAAAAATATATTTTAATTTTAGTTCATATTCACAGTAATTTAATTCCTAATTAAATTACAAACATTTAACTAACATACCAATTGTACAACATCAAAAATTAATTATGTTAAGTGGATTCGATAACATAGTTTTGGCTTTTCTATCTTTGTCTAACACATGCGCCGGACTCGCGACATAGGATTTTAGACATGGTCTTTGCCAAACATACCAATTGATCTAATGAAGCGATAAGAATTCTAAAAACCGTTTTGAATTTGTGGTCAAGTCTACTTGAAATCGACTTCACCATATTTTTGATATTATCTCTCACAAATTCCTAAAAACTGTAATATTATTTTACGTTATTCTTACGTTATAAGAAGAGTAAATAAAAATTGTCATATTTCAAATTTCGGAGAAGTTTTATGGAGAAATCTTCAACCTTACATCTCTACCTCCGACACATATTTTTGTGGGAATGTTGCAATCAGCCATCTTGTCAACAAATGAGCATAAGTAGATGTTTTTATATAATATATTTGGTAATCAGTAACCCTTTATATTACTCGTAATATTATATAATAATTTTATTGGTATAAGTAATATACCTAAGTTTTTAATTATTCAGTAAAACATTAATAATTCAAAAATTCTTAAAACATCCAAATCAAAAATAAATCCCTATTAACATTTATCGTGATATATTGATAACTACATGTAAGTTATCTAATAAATAAATAAATACAGAGGACTAACCAGGGTAAGGATATTATTATATCAATGTTTTTAAAAGTCTTAAAAATGACTTAAACATCTAAAAATGTGACCACTATCGCACTACATAATTATATGCCTATAAATTATAACGAATTTAATATATAATACACCGTTCTAAGGGGTAATAAAATTCTTATCAGCTTAAACTAATAAAGATTGTTTTTATTAGTAACCATGCATTTCAAGCTCTAATATTGAAATAAGTTAACAGTAATCAACATTCGCATAAAAATCGTAAGAAAATTCTAGAAATTTTTTTTAAATAAAAATAGTATCGCCTGAAACACATTTACCATGGACGAAATATAAATATTAAATATCAATTACCTACTCTATAACACAAAAATGAATCATGTATCATGTATGAATCCTAATCCTAATTAATACAATTACATTATATTAAATTATTTTTTTTGGCGAATTAAATATAACAATAGGTTCGATTACGATATTCAAATACAAAAATAATATTGTGCACTATGAAATAAGGAAAATATATGGTATATAAACATTAGGACACCACTACATACATGTAAACATTTTTGTTTATTTTTTATAGCGACTAATGCATTTTAAATTACCTAACATGGTTAATTTATTATTTTAATTCAATTACGTGACAACAAAAAAGTAGGTTGAATACATTTTCCGAAACTTAAAAGCAGGAAAATAGAAACATCAAGCATATTGATTTATTATTGGCGTATAGTGTATATACAAGCGTATAACTATAACTTAATATAAACATAATTATTTTTACACAAGAAAATAAAGATAGGTTTTGTTTTTAAATTTAAATTTATATTATTTTCAGATTAATGTTTCATCCAATCGATGATATTATACATAAATTATTCAAAATACTTTGTGATGCAATTTGAAATTTCCCCAAAAACTAATTCCTATGTTTTTGAATATCAAAATATGAGTCTCGCTTAAAAACGAGTTTGTTAGAGTATGCATATTTTTTATATCTACTAGAAAATGCAGTATTGGGCAAGAAAGCATTCTAACCTTTTTAAAATGAATATTCTAGTAGAGTATGAATATTAAATTATTTTTTACGTTTTAAGTTCCCACGTCAAAATTTTCGTTTAAGATTTTTAAGTCGATAAACTAGTTTGGGCGGCGATGATTTAAATGACATATTATAATGTTCTACTGCAGAAAACCAAAAAGAATTTAAATATTCTATAAATTATAATGCCTACTTACTAATAGACGTGACTTCGATGGGTATAATAATTTGACGTAGAGAGTCGTAGAACAAGAATTCACATCGAGGCCGTCGCTGCACGCAGGCGATTGCAGCGAGTCGATGCCATTACTGCAGCATAACTTACCGTCATTCGGTTGTAATATATTATTATTATTATGCGCTTGCCTAGTTGTTTTTTTAATTTTCACCCGTTCCAAAATATAAATAAATGCATATTGCTTGTAAACATAATATACGTAGTAAACCTGTTGTTACCTATAACTACCTATATCTATAACCTATACGCACGTTATAGTAACATACTATACAGGACCAGCTGCTAATGCATAGTGCAGTGAACTCCTGTCTAGCTGTTGAGAGGGGGTCTCGGACCACAAGCGAAGACGTATAATAGGTACCTGCACACTGCACAGAACCAGTCTCATTTTCTAAGCATTCATCAGTCGTCTCACCATGGACTATGATGTGTAATAAGCACAAGTTCTGTAGCATTATTATTCTGTCGTTCGTATAAGACGCTATATTTTTGAAGAATTCTATCAACATTATTTGCAAGGTAAAAATTACTAATTAGTAATTAGGTATTGTTTTAAGGTGGTTGTTTTATATATTTCCGCACTGCAGTATGTACATATACCTACGTGACCGTATTGCACGCCATGTGCATCACTACTCAATTATAACCAGCTAACGAATTATGTTATTACTGTTTTGTTTATTAATATAATATTTTGTTCTAATTTAAAAATATTTAGAATTATACCTACATATTATTGGTAAATACTTATTACTTTGATTACTAATCAGAAATGCACTGTATTTGATTCAAATTTAATTGTCTATACTCTATAGTAATGGAGATAAAAAAAAAAGTACTAACCAGCTAGGTACTGCTTGAATAACCATGAAATTGACATTTATTATTTACTCGTGTATAAACTGTTTGACATAATTTTGTAAATATTTAAATTTTTTTAAAGCGTCACTTAAGCACAAAATATGTTAATAAGTTTATTTATAAAAAAAAATTCAAGTCAGGTATTTATAATACATAATATTATGTATACAATATATTATATACATACTTTATATGAATACAATATAGGTAACAATACAGGCTACATGGTATGTTTGTTTTTGTAATTCGATTATACTCCTCTAATTATAAATAATGTTTAATATGACACTGAAAATGTATTTTTGTTAGTTTTCACTGGGAACTAAACATATCAACTTACTAACAACGTTTCGGAATGCTGTTATTATTCTTTCAACCAGTACATTTAGCTAACCACAAACATTTCTTCAGCTATTGTAATCCACATTTAGGTTAAATTACAGTTTATTTAGCTTACTTTGGGTGATCCAGTAAGTCAAATTATATTGTAATGTAATTAAAGAAAGCTAGTAAAAAATATTAATTTATTCCTATTATGGTACCTAATATTATTGAGTTGTTAAGTATAACCCGTCCAGTTCATCTTGGCATTCCTCAAACGTTACGATTTTAAAAAAAAACGGTGAACCAAAAGCAATAATATATATATTGAAAATATTAAAATAATATAGTTTTCGGACCACTGTTTCTTTAAAATCATAAGTGTTGCCGAATTCCAAGATGAACTGGATAACTGTCAACTATAGAATTAAATAAATAACGTTAACAGTAAATACTATTATATAACAAATTACACAGTTATTTGGTGGTAGGTATGTGTGTATATCATGTATATCGTGTATATGCAGTGTATATCCTATAGTAGCTGATAATGGTTATATATTTATATAATTATATTGTAAAATATGTAATATTGTTTGATTAATTCACGAAGCACAGTAGATAAATAGACATGTTTGCAAAGGTGGGCAATAACTTAACTAGTTAGTTATTTTTGTTTTTAACTTATGAACTTATTCAGTTAAAATTTGTTCTGTTGTAGGTAACTTAACATTTTATAGTTAATTATCATTGTCATGCAGTTAAGTTAATTTTCTTTTCGAGTCATGCGTAATCAACAAGACAATACTGATTCGTCGACTCTTTTTCGATTTCGATAATTTATTTTTGAATTATAAATTATAATAATCTAATTTTTTACTCTGTGTTAAATGTCTTGGTTAATTTTTGTGTTTAATAAAATACTATGGCAGTTTATGACTTAAAAATATTGTATCTTGAAAAAATTAATTTTTTTTAACTGAGATAACATAGGTAATTTTATTTTCTATCTTAACTTTAAACTTATCTAGTTAAATTTTTTCTTTGATAACTTTTAACTTATCTGAAGGCAATTTAATTGAATTAACTTAACTTGCCACTGTTAATATTATTTTCATTAACTTGCCCACCTTTGCATGTTTGGAATTGAAGACGATCAATGATGGTGGGTATGATTATATTAAAAAAAACTTAATTATAATATTATCTGAAACATTACAATTTATATCCTATAAGTATAACATTTCGTTTTTCTTCAATCGATGATAATAAAATTTCGAAATATAGCTTTTTTGTAACGTAGAATATTGGAATAACGTTAAATATTTGAATTTATATAAAAAAATTTACTATAAAAAATAGTTCACAAAATTTATAAATATTATAACAATATTACACGTTCAATCTGAAAGTTAATAATATTTCCATAATTAAATGAAAATACATTATTAGTATCAGTTTTTTAAAAAAAAATGTCCATGTAAATTTAATGCACATAATATATAGGTCTAAAAAAACAATAGTGTTCGTATTAATACAATTGATACGAAATTGATGGACAAAATAACTGCAGCAGATACGGAACACTTCCTATGACCTTTCTGTATATGTACGCATTATATAACTACCGAAAATAATTTTAAATTTTGCTGTGATTGTCAATGATAAAACGTACGTTTGCCAATTAGTTTTGACGTGTAAGCGACATGGCGACCGCTACAACAACAATAATATTATCGGACGCGTGTGACCAGCTGTGGCGTGTGTTAGTATTACCCACATGGCCACATAATATTATTATAGTATATTCGAGGTGCCTGCCTAAATGTATAAACATAGTTTTACCTGCCACATAATGTTCAATTGTTTTTTATTTCAGTTTCATTCCGACTACCGACACGGATATAATCGTCTTACACCCGTCGTTTATAATATATAATATCATAATAATAATCACTAATCGGCGCACCTACGTACTGCAGCAGTGCGATAATATCGTAATCATTGACTTACCAAAGTATTTACTTTCTGTGAGCATGTATTAATTTCAATGTCTTTGTCCGCAACTATATACAATATTATATTATACGTACCTACTATATATATTTTATGTGTGACTAAAGTCGCATATCGGTGTCATCTGCAATGACATTGTATACAAGACGTGAAACTATACGACTTGTCTAGAATTTCAATTTAAAGAATTAAAAATAATTTATATAGTTCACCGACCCGTGTACAATGATGGGTCAATCATCAAGATTATTGCTGTTGCTGGCGTTCTTGTTTTCTGCTGATTTGTCTGGCGGCGAACCGTGCTTCGAACAAAACGACCCGGAGCCATACGTATATTTTTCGCACAAGACGGCCTATCAACTGATATTGAACTCAAAGTTCAAACCGGTGCCTTGTAAGTTTGCAGAACATTGGATACTCATACTGTTTGAATATTATTATGGATATTAAATTATAACTTATTAAAATCTCGATATTAACTATTAAATTATAAAATGACTTATTTATATTTTTGTTTCTTTCCATACTTTTGTTTGAATCATCAAAAAATCTTGTCCGTACTCTATTTAATTTTTAATATAATGTAATATTATAATAATAAATAAATACTTATTTTATGAATATTATAATATACCTGATAAAGACAATACGCATGGTTAACTTTATTTTAAATTTAGATTGCCGCCCGACGTTTGTATGGATGTTTATCACACCTGGCACCAGTTATCCGAATACCAACGAGTCCATGGAAATTCGTAATTTGCACCTATTCAAAAACAGGGTGATAAAAAATCACGAGGAAAGAAGAAGTACGTTTTAAACTTATTTAAAGTATTGAACTCTTAAATGTTGGGTAACATTATTATAATTTTATTTTAACTCCACAGATGGGTATCTATGTCCAAACGTATTAGACAGTCTAAAACGTTGGGAATTTGAAGTTAATCCTTCTTCAGAAGATGATATTTCACCTCAAGGTAGGATGGACATGCAGCTACTTGCAAGAAGGATGAAAGATAAAATGAGTGAAGTTTTAGCGAAAGAGATCGACCCAAATACGTTCAAAGTGAATAATTTTAAGTTATTATAAAAATATTATCATTTTTGAATCATTGTAATAAGTTTAATAGCTAACAAATTAAGAAAATTGTTAAGGTTAATTGTTTAATTGTTTTTATACTTAAGATTTATGCCACTGAAGACCGGAAAGTTATGAACAGTGCCGAAGAATTTTCGAAAACCATGTTTGGAAACGACTTCAGGTCTAAAGTTCCAATCGAAATAATCGAAAACAATTCTAGTTTTATCGGGGTATTTATAATAATAATATATATTTTAATTACCAACGCTCTACTCGTGATTTAATTATAAACCATAACCTTCAGTTAGAGTCTTGTCCTAAGTGGAATGATGCAGTCTACAATTCTGAAGCTTCTCTGTTTCGTAAGTCGCCGGAATACTTGGACATGGTGAGCCAGATGAGTAAAAGACTGGGTTTTCTAGAAAACATAACTGAAAGTAAGTACACAGCGGGCTATATAATATACCTATGTGATGATTATTTTCGCAAGCCTATCACTTTTATATTTTATATAATATAATTACAGGTATAATACACTCGATGTACGAATCATGCCGGTATCATAAAGCACTCGTGATCGAATCTTACCCTGCATGGTGTGGCCTGTTCACTAGACAAGAGTTACAGGTGTGTACAATAAGTGATATCAATCCAATACGAATTTTATTACAGTTTTTAACGTGTCTAATTTTCCCACTCAGCTTTTAGAATATCACGACGACTTAGAATATTATTATAAATACGGTTACGGTTCTGAAATAAACACAAAGGTGGGATGTCCGATCGCCAAAGAGCTGATGGGATATTTGAAGTAAGATTCCAAAAGTGCCTATTACCCGTCATTAGTTATAATTTATAGGTAACCAATTTATCAGTTTTAATAATATTATTGTTGGGTGTTTTTTTTTTTTTAGTGATGTATCAAAAAATTATTCCGATGGACCTTCGGCTGTACTTAGGTTTGGTTCCTCGGCCGGGTTGTTAACTACGTTATTGGCTTTGGGAGTGGCAAGAGACACGATTCCTCTGACTCACTCCAATTACGCAGCTCAGTATCGGCGTCAATGGAGAATGTCACGAGTGGACCCATTTTCCAGTAATTTTGCCGTAGTATTTTACAAGTAAGCATAATATTATATTAAATATGTACCTATAGAAACAAAATGATAAGGTGCTTTTTAGATTTATAAATATTAAATAAGTTTAATCCTAATTTAAATTATTATGTAATTAAAAATGTCATTATTAATCAGGGGCGTCATTTCAGTTTTTTCCCGGGTGTGCAAGTTTTTAGACAGGCCAGTTTCAACATTTAACCAGGCCAATTTTAACATTTAATATTTAAACAATAATCATGCTGTTTAAAGTATGTTAATATTATCTCCTTTCCTTTTATAATTCTAATTAAAACTATTCATATCAACTAATGTATATGGTAATTTTCAAATAGCCAGCACTTCAATGTATTAAAAGCTTATAAACAACTAAAACAAGTAGCAACTAGCGGCCAACAGAAGCCATTTGGAGAAATAAAAAGCAAATGCGGTATAATTGTATAAAGGAATTTTTTTTAATAAATGTATTTAAAAAACTAATCACTATTCAATATTCATACAAAATAAAAAATTATTTATTATTTTTAAATTTGAATCAGTGGATATCTACGGGTTCCAATATATTATGTATACCATGCTTACATCACTATAGCTGATACCAGCAGGCTGGCGCGAACTATCTTATATACCTAATGAAACGCGCTTCACACGGTTATCAAATAGGGATAAATTTGATGAAAACGCTGATAAAAAAATAAATATATATAACATTCATGCATATTTTATTAATTTTTAATAGTAATCATATAGGCGCATAGGAGCATTAATGGAGGGCCAATTATTTACTTTATTATGTTAGTGGGGCCGTCGCACACCCTGCCCCCCCACCCAATTACGCCCCTGTTATTAATTACATATTACTATAATTATAAGCATTTGGCAAAAAAATTGCATGAACATAATACAAAAGCTTTATATTTATTGAGTACATAAAACAGTTGTTATATTTTTAATTTAAACGCTGTTAAAGTGTAGGTAAATGTAATATTGTCACAATATTACGATGTCTTTCTATAGTAAATTTTAATTAAATACTATGTACATAATTTCGGTTCATAAACAAGTGCAAGTTCATCGATTTAGTCTATATGTACTGTTTTAGTAATACATACTATTATGTAGTTCACGGTATTGTATTGACTAGACAAATCACCTATGTACAAGTACCTGGGCACCTGGCTATACGTTTTATGCCTGTACAGTGTGAGGAGTACTAACCTACCATATTATTATACAATTGATTAATAATCTATACAAAATAAATTGAATACCTATTTAGGTAAGTGTACCTCAATAATATTATATTGTATACTTGCGTATACAATACAAGACGTAGGTAAACAACTGTCTTTATGGTCACAATATTGTTTGACTGTGTATAATCATTGTTTATTGTTTCACCGTTAGTTTGAATTCTGTATACGCTATAGTAATATATTATGTATATTATTAAATTATTATTATATGTATTGTTGCAGATGCAGTCAAGGAGATGAAGAGAACAAAGTCATGTTCTACTTGAACGAGGGCGTGTACGATTACCCGGGTTGCAACGTCGGTTTGTGCTCTTGGAAATTCTTCGAGAACAAATTCAAAGACTATTTGGGACCAAAGGGCTGCAACGAAGAGGTGTGTCACGACAAAAGTCGAGCTTCGGGTGTTCGGCACTCCGTTTTTGTCGCTGCACTCATTCCAATCGTACTTGCGTACTTGCGCGTTTGAATAATATTACAAATATGACGTTTTTCATTTGGCTGTGTCATACATTTTATAATTATTACATTAATATTATGTTTTAGTAGTTAATATTTAAATTTTAAATATTCGAAAAAGAATATATTTCCATACGATATTTTATTCTCGTGACGAACTTCCATGAATGTCATACCTAATGATATAATATTTTTATGTTATTGTCCATCATACTGCTCGTGTAAACGTTTCTCAAAACACAAAAGAGCAACACTCCCATCCGGCGAAATCCAACCAGTCATTATCATGTAAATTACTATATACTGGCACGTTACACTTTTCTTTTCTCTCTATGGTTCAAACTGAAAGTCACATTAATAATATACCTACCTGTTACTAAATATATTTTTTTAAATTTATCGCAATTTATTATTTGTTTTATTTTTTTTTTACAAAATATTATCAGTGTTAAACTTAAACATATTAAATATACTTACGTTATAGACGTCATGTTTACAAAAAATGATATTAGAAATATCGTATTACGAGCAGTACAATATTATTTAATTCACGTACAGCTGATCATATTACTATTGTATTAAAAACACTATAACTCAGTAGATTGAATCATTTTAAAGTGAATAGGTAGATAATAATATTACTTATTTTCAATAGGTACTGCAGTCATGCACATGATAAGTAGAATAATAAGTAATAACTATATCAATATATAGTTTTTATCAAATAAAATACATAAGCCTTACTGTTTGCTAATTATAGATTTCTTAATTAACTGGTTTTATCATCTCATGTTTGAATCATTTGATCTCACAAACAGCATATTAAGTACGATGATTTTAAGCCGAGACCTGATTTGATTGCAGTTATAAAATTATATTATGTACCAAAATACAATGGTGTACACATTCTAATAATGGTTATTTTGTTCAAATAAATATAAAGGGTATATTATAAAATAATAAACCTTTTAAACTGAAAGTTTTATGCATGTAATTAATAAAAAAAAAAATGAATTTTGTAGTTTAAAACTAACATTAGACGTACAAAAAGGTATATGGAATTAATAGTAGACAGCTAACAATCGTAATTGCGTACTTGCACTTTGAATAATATTATGATTATGACGTTTTTATATTTGTGTAATGTAAGAGACACATGTTTTATAGTAATTAAATATTAAAAATTACTTTGTTATGTCTAGAATTATAAAAAAAAAAAACAATAAAACGAACGATTTATTATAATCTTATTATACATATTATACAGTTCATAAAAATCTGTTAACGATTAAGTATTATATTCTGCTTCTGCATTAGCAACGAAATGTTTGTTTTGCTATGTTAAATCGATATTAGAAATGGAGCGAGGTACTAACAGTGAAGTACATATAGGTTACAAAATGTAAAATAATAATTCTTATTTCCACAGTACTATAAAAAAAACCACACCATAAAGCATTAATATCTGAACATATCCTAAAGATGATCAGCAAACGTCTGGCCTATCAAAATGTTTAAACATAAAGACAATTATCTGAATAACCGAACAATTATCAGTAAAATCCACATACATAATGACTAATGACAATAAGATTGAAGTCTTTAGTTTTTGAAATTCAATAAAATAACTAAAACTGCTGTACCTATTGTATCAAAGCGCGTCAAAATTTGAACTTCAAAAGGTATTTAAAAAAATGTAAGTATCTCAATCAAATATTAATAAACACACAAATCGAAATGTATATAATATTTAAGATTGATGACAATAATCATTTTTGTTCCGGACTAAACAGCTGATTTTGATAATATGCTGGAGCTGTTTATCAACACTTCGGCCATATTACGTACTGCCCTGCCTCCATCCATTGACAGATATTTTGGATCACTTGCAAAAGAGCTAATACGTTTGTAATCAAACCTAATCGAACATAATAACTTTTTTTACTCATCGAGTCTTGGTGTGGTGGAATAATGAAAATTGAAGTCGATAATCCAACGTCTCGAGAGAGTCGCGCTAAGTATAAAAAGAAAAGTGCGCCTTAAAATACACATATAGGCAAAATAAATGACGAAAATTTCTTGAGAAAGCATAACAAATTTGTAGTAAATAATGAAGTTTGAAAATACAATAATTTAATAAAAAATTTTACGAAGAAGTGCTTGGTGTAGTTTTCGAATCATTTTGAACAACATCAACAGAGTTATAGCCAATGCCCATTTTAACTAGAAATTATTGTAACGTATTTTCAACATTTTATTAGAGAATATTCCCCTTGGCCCGCATTGCAATGCACTATTCAGTATTCGCACCTATGGCAACCAATAAACAAAACAAAAATAACAATAATACTAATTTCTATTATTACTATTATAATTTGTAAAGTAAAGAAGAAAAAAGGGGCACCTTGAGTGAGTGTGTGTCTTGGTTAATGGAAGTAAATAGTTGTTCTAATTCTGTTATCACTTATAATTGTTATAATATTAGGCCTTTATTAGACCTTTGTTTTTATTTAATATTAGACTCAAATGAATGCGTAAAAATACGAATAGTGTACATTTAACGAATCTTAAGGCAGGCTAAACTCTCTGGAATTATTTAATTTACCATGGTCCACCAGGTTAAGAAAGAAAAAAATTATTATATTATGTATAATATAGGTATGTACATTTTTACCAAAGATTGACAAAATATGCATTTAAATGTTCGACTTTTAAATTCGCCATTGTATAACTATCATATCTTAGCTATAGGTCTGCTATAAATTGAGAGCATATTATAGAGCAACATGATTATAAACTATTCCTACAACATCCGAGCCCTATAGTCATCGGACACACCGTCCAGGGTCAGCTATATTTTATACACGTATGTAGTGATGGGTAAATTCCCGGTATTTAAAAGTGAGGGAATATTCCCTAGGAATATTTCGGGAATTTTTTATAAATTCCCAAATAATGGGAATTTTTACTATAAATTTGAAAATTCTAGTAGCCAAGTCAAAATTAAATTATACCCAATCAAAACACTGCAGAAATATAATTGTGGCCTGGTGTGGCTTGCTAATGACCTCAGATTTTGTAGCATTAACTTAATTAAAAATAAAAATAAATAATAAAATATAATTGTCCTTATATTTTTATGAATAATATTATGATAGTACCTACTTTTCAGTTTTCTCAATGAAAATTGAAAAATAATCTCTTTTACCTTTGTAGTATCTTCTACACAAAAGTTGATAGGTATTGAAGAAAATATCTGTTAAGACATTTAGTTTAATTTATTAGGAAAAATATTAAAAAAAGTAACAAATTTCTAATGTTAAGATAAGTCCTTCGTATCAGTCATATAATTAACTATAACTAGTAGCTATATTTAATAATAATAATACAAAATAAAATAAATATGAAATACTCCATATATTTAACAAAAAACTTAATAACCGAAAAATATATTAAACATTATAAAAAAAATTATGTTATCTAGTGAATCTCTAACAGTGTGGACTAATAGAACGGAAAAAAAAAATTCCCAACTTTGGGAAGAAATATATGTTGTGGAAATATTCCCGATAAATTCCCAATTATATATTTCTTTCTTTTGGGAATATTCCCAAGGCACATCACTACACGTATGTTGTTGTATGTTTGATTACGGTTCAAAATTGAAAATATGTATCAAGTTATAGAAAAAGGTGAGCAAGTGGGTGTCGCTCTGCTGTACAGTAGGATACAAGTAGGTAACTATAATGGATTGCGTTAAATTTGAATTCAGTGATAGAATATCATTGTATAAAAAAACGATTCTGAGCGAAGACCGGTCGGTTAGCTTATGTTATTACGAAGTATATTTAATGGTATAATTGTGAATAAAGTAATTTATAATAATATATTATAATCTATTTACGGGAACCTTGATTTAAATGTTCAATCCTTAGCTATAAAAGTTGAACAACTCGAAGACAGTCAAAATATTTTGAAAATTTTATCAAGTATAGGAATTACCAAAATAAACATATGACATAAATTTCAAGTGGTTATTCATTTTTGAATTACGATAAAATAAGAAAATATCTACCTACTTAAGAAATCGAGTGAATATCCAATATTGTAAATATTTGAACTTCAAACGCTCATTAAAATGTAATTTGACTTTCTTATGGAGAGTTGCTCTAAAAGTGTTTTGGAGTCTTTTTTGGTACCTTTAACATTTTTATAGCTACTGATAATGACGTCTACACATTCGAGATGTACAGAGTTATAAAATACCACAAGTCCATACAACAATCGCACAACAATCAATTGTTATCGACTGATAAATAAAGGACTATATGGGATATCATATGACATGGCATTTAATTGCTTGACAACAATAAGTGTCATAAACATCATGCATATTGTATATACCTACTATATGTAGGTATAACGTTAATTATTTATTTGATCGATAAGCCACCTATATAATTAGGAAAATAAAAGTGTCACCTTCAGACGCCTTGATCCGTTATTCATGCCCACTACGGTGTGGACCTCATTTACACTCACAATACGCTCATTCTGTGATCCGCTGTCGGCGATGATGGACATTCGGAACGAGGAAAACCACGTCTTCAACATCAGGTTGGCGAAACTCACGGGTTTATATCAAATGTTGGATCCCGGAACCGCGAAATGTCTGGGTCGAAACGTATACAAAATGTTCGCTGCGATATTTTTGTCGTACTTGTTCGTGTCAACGGTGGTGTTGGTGGTCGGCTTTTTGCATTTATGGACGTACGATACGTCGTTGAGCATATTGGATTTCTTCTTGGCAATAAACTCGTTTTACGCGTGCTACAAGATGTGCATAATCTTTCACCATTCGGACGACTTATGGGACTGTCTGTCAATCACCCGATACGGTTTTGCGTCGTCGGGTTTCCGGAAGTGGAACGGACATGATGACGTGCTGGATCGTTGGCGGACGCGTACGGTCCGGTTCACGAGCTCGATGACCGTCGCGTATTCTTTTTC